TTGCAACTTATTAGAATAACATTTGTATGACTTCAACAATGCAAAAATAAGTTAGAGAAATTAACAAGTGTCGCTCTAAATCTAGATATTGCTTCTTATTCTCTCAAGATGCAATTAATTAGGTCTCTACTTACAACTAGTCTACATCCCTCTTAAGTACTAAGACCAAATACATAGCTATCACCATTGTTGCTTCCAAAGCTATCTTGTTCCAACATTCATTCTTCAATTTGCACCAAATGAAAATCTTTAAACATCCAATACTAATTCAATATGACAACCAATCCACACTTGTCTTTGTCAATACTACTAAGTTCTATTCTCATACTAAAAGCACCATTTGATATCACTTCATAAGATAACTTGTTATAGTTAATAAAATATATTTCAGCTATTGTTCTACCAACAACTTATATATTCATATCTTCACCAAATCTTTGTTTGTTTCAAAGCTTATTCAACATCTCTTACTACTTGGCATGCTTGAAGGAAAAACCTAACCCACACTATAGCTTGATTAAGAAGACATATCAAAATAATATAAATAAATTATACTTAATTAATTTGTGCTAAGGTCAAAATAGAAGGTTAGAATTGCATCCTATCAAGAAAACATGATCCTTCTTGGTTGCACCTTTATTGAAATCATAAAACTTTGTAAAAATCCTATTTACATAATAAGGAGAATTACTAAACCCTAGAACTGCTTAACCGTACACTACACTAAAAGATTAGTTCCAATAGCTCAAGAGCTGCATTGGACTCTTTTAGGGATGAGGTCAATCGTTTGTAAGCAGAGCTTTGTGATGTGTTCTGCTGGTGGCGCAGTTCTCTTCTTATCTTAATACGTCTTTTCGACTTCTCTTGATTCAGCTGAAACCACATCAAGATGTTTCTTAAGCTCAGACCCGTCTAAAATGTAATTGCTTAGCGTTCTTCATTCCGGACTTCTCCAGATTGCCTAGGGACTTTATCTCTATCCACTTTCGTCGCACTTGGGTCGTTCAATCACCTCTTTATCTTCTTCATCTGAGCTGTTATCAGTTTTAAACTATGCACTATTGTTAATCACAGGGTGCGCACTATAAGACTCATCATGTATGAGAACTTTTGGGCTTGTTAAACTAATCGACAACTAAGTTTTTGCGAGGGTGGAATCGAGTAGGGCCAAAGTCTAATTGCCCATCCTGAGCTTCAATATTCTTTGTTGGATCGTGTAATCACACAGTGATTCATTCTCTGGAATCGTCATTTCATGGGTCGGTCCACTACTCTAGTGATCGAAGGGCGCCATCGATGAGCATAATTGTTGCCCATCTTTCTCTCTAGCCACCAAACATCAAGCACTCACACGCTTGGTACTGTGCACAATGCTTAAAACGCATATCATGTATTTAGAGTGGGTGACAGATCATTACAAATCCATAATTTTTGCTGAATCCCTGGAAAGAAGTTCATTCCCTTCAGGGTGCTACTTCCACGCAAGATGACGTTAATATATCTAAGAGCAAGCAGATCAGATGCTGAGGAAGACGTAATGTGTGGTTCATTGAAATGAGTTTTGACCTACTTATCAATTAGTTTGATTCTTCAATATATAAAAAAATCTTTAAGTATTACTGAAATAGAAATTTTCTTTTAATCAAGTTACTTGTAACTGAGGAGTTGTGACAAAAGCAAAAGTTGTTTTTTTCTAAAAAGAACGAGTGTTGATGTCTTACTAAGTTAATATTGTTGTTTTTATTTTTAAGTAAGAGAATTTTTTATTAACTAAATATAATCATCCATGAACATAAAAAAATATGTGTTGAAAATAGTATATATTTGTATATGTGCCAAGAAGATAATTCTAGTATAATTGCATAGAAAAAAACCATGGTGTAATTAATAAACTAGAGGGTACAAATAAAACAAGCAACAATAAGATGATGTTATCTACAAAAAAAATAATAATAATAACAAACAATAATTTTAAATTTTGCAATGGAATATGAATTATTGAAATTTATGAAATTAAATAAAAACAGAATGTGATTTACAATATCCAATGCAATAAGAAGCTTCAAAACAAAAATATATATTGATGGAAAATAAGAAGGATATAACAAGAAGTACAAGTAATAATATGTTCCAACTAATAAGCAACAAGATCAATACATAAGCACCAATCTTTTGAATTAATATGTAAAATTTACTTCTAATTAAATATATAATTTATTTTTTCTTATTTATTTTTAAAATGTAATCATATTACAAAATTAATTTTAAAAATAATTTTAAATTTTTTAATAAAAATAATTATATACATATACATATATTCGTATTTATATTTATAAAATAATATATATCATCAAATATATAAATAATTTAAAAATTCAAAAATCGTGCAAAATTTTGGTATATAAGTTTTTTTCATAACATAATAGAATAGAAAATATATAAATTTTAGAGATAATTATTTTATAAATATAATAACATGTAAATAAAATAAGTTTATTTTAAATTTCCTAAATTAAATTTCATTTAAGAATATTTTTAAAATTATATAAACTTAATATATACTTTGATATTACTATGCCAATATTTTTAATAAATTTCTTGATTTTTTAAAATATGAATTTAAATAGAATTATAAAATTTAAAAATACTTATCTTAAGCTGATAAAGAACAAAAAAAAAGCACAAAAAAACATACTTTTAAATAAGTAGATTATTAATATAGCTATTTATAATTATGAAAATTTTCAAAGACATGAACTAAGATTGAAGTGCAAAATAATATGCACAAGATTAAATATGGCTTCAATATTATCTTTAAATATGCTGATTCATGAAAGAACCATGTAGAAGTCTTAGTTGATTTATAATCCTCAAAGGCTAAATTTAGAATCTCATAATATTTACATAATTAGTTTATATATATGTGTGTGTGTGTGTGTGTGTTTTGGTAAAAATCACTAAAGCCATTTAGATTACTTTTAAATATAATATTTATTTAAATGATAATAATAAAAATAATAATAATATTTTTAAAGATAATATTTTATATTTAATCTATTTTATATCTATTTTTACTTAATTAAAATTAAAAACCCTTTGATATACTATCTACTTATATATATATATATATATATATATATGATATTATATGAAATTTTTATTAGTAATAAGATAGTTATCTAATTTTATAAATTATAATTAATAGTACGTTACAAATATCAATTTCTTTTTATTTTTTGTCCATCATATTAAATATAATAAGAAATAATTATTATTTATGTCTATACTAAATTTTATAAAACTATATTATTACAATTATTTTGGAATAAGTAGTGGTTAAAATTAAATTTAATAATATAGGATCTTCACCTAAGAGCATATACATATGAACATTATACAAGAAAATTAAAATTTTAATATAAACACGAATCTTTAGGCTAACATTAAAGCTTTTAAAATATTGTAAGAAATTTAACTTTTATTTTATCAAATTGTATATCTATTATTTTGAGTGAATAGTTTATTAAGTAAAATAAATACTACAAAATCAAAAAATATTCAAATATATTTATGTAACTTTAATGAAAATTTCTAAAAGAAATAGAAATAAGAAAGAAAATTTTAAATAATATATAAATAATGTAATTAGAAAGATATTATTAATTTTAAAAAATTAAATCAATAAATTCTAAACTATTTTAATTATTTTAAGAAGAAAATATAATTTATTTTTATTAATAAAGATAAATTTTTATTATTTTTAAGATTTGATATATCAAATTCATATATATATATAATAAAAAGTGATTAAATAGAAATATATTTATAAGATAAGACAGTAGCATAATGGCTATTAATAAGTACAAGAGATTGAAGACCCTTGAATTAAGATTTGAGTATAAAAAAGAAATTGATGATACTATGCATGGCTTCAATCTCGCTTTTCAATATACCAGTTAGAAGAATAGCTATCTAGATTTTTTTAAAAACTCCAAAGCTTATATACCAAGTGAGTGGGTTAAAAGACATTAATTTTGAAATTTCTTAGAAAAAAATAAAATTTAGAAGAAAAAAAGTTAACATAGCTATATCAAACTTCTATAAATCCCATTTCTATATAATAATGTTGATAGTTTTTTATTTTTTTAAAAAATTGATATTAATCATCTAATCTACTTCTTACTATTTTTTAATTTCTATCTATATGAATAATATATGTAATTTTTAAAATATATATAATTATTTTTTAGCCTCCCATGCCAAGTATGGTGAATTTAATATACTCAAATTTGAACTCAAATTAATATATGTATGTATGTATGTATGTATGTATGTATGTATGTATGTATCCATACATATATACTTAGGAGTTTTGTCTATATTTCAATATCTATTAGATAAAAGGTCACACTAATACATGCATAGTTTTGAACAACTTATAAACATATTAAAATGCATAGCAATTAGATTTATAACCCATAAACCACAAAATATTGATAATAAAATGTCTAAATGTTTGAATAAATAAATGAATACATGTATATATATATGTATGGAAATGTTAAAACGACCCACTCTTTTACTAAATTGACTCACCCTATTGTAACCATTGTTAGAAAAATGGATCATCGTCTCCACCTCTTGTTCCCAGCCCCCACTCCCTTTGTTCCTTCTTCATTCCTACCCCCTTGTTCTCCGCAATAAGGTGGATCAATTTAGTAAATATGTGAGTCATTTTAACAATTATATATATATATATATATATATATATTAATGAATGAGGTACATTTTGTGTCATAATTTCAGTTAATATGGAACTCTGGAAGACTTGAGCAAGTCCACGGCTTCCATGCCAGGTAAGCACACTGACGATCCCAGAAGATTCTTCCACGGTGACGGACCTCGAACCGGAGGCTGCGCGGGCAACGGCGATGACCGCCGAACCACACCCGTGCCCTTCACCGAGAGGCAAGTATGTAGGAGCTCTTGGGATACGCCCCTACTCCTTTTCTTCTTCTTCTCAGCGAGCAATCCTCAAGTCCCGTGATTGCAGTGTGTTTCCTTGATCGACAGTGGTGCAGCTTCACTTTCTCTTCATTGCGTCAAGTACCCACTTTCGTTGGCTCTCTCAGGTAGCGGGTTTGGAACAGTGTATGGTGTGTATCTGTCAGTGTGGCCCTGGTCCTTTGATGTCTCGGCGTTGTTTCGCTGTATCTCATTGTTTCACTTATTCTGGATTCTTCCGTGCATGATTCTGGTGCCTTTTTCCTGTATGCTAGGTAGTAATATGTTGACAGATTTTTTTTATTTGTTTGTTTGTTTGTTTGTGTTTGTGTGTGTGTGTGTGAGTGTGAGAGACCAGTATCGTCGGATGCTCTTGTTGGGGTGAACTAATTTGGGAATACATTTTAGGCTGAATGGATTTGGACGTTAGATACATTGGTGTCTTGTCAGGCTCGTTAAGCCGAGTTTTGTACTGTGTTCCTGAAGTAGCTTTTGGTGTCCGAGTTTGTGATATTTGATTTTCTCCTTTTTGGAAGATTGTATGTCGGCCGTAGTGATCTATCGACTCAATGTGAAAGTTCTGTGTGGCGTTTGTGATGGATCAGACCTGTTTGTTCGTTTTTCAGAGAGACCCAGGTAGTATCGAGGGGTTCAGGGTTTTAGGATTTATCTTTATACTCTTGATACTACGTCGAATTGGATATTTCTCAGCCGCTTTCTAATTACGGAATTGTTATCAATTCAATCTTCGGATTCATCTAAGATTTCTGTTCTGAATTCTACTGGGATTGGCTTCTGTGTCGCGTGAATCGTCTTGGGGATGTTTTAAGATCTAAGCCCTTTGTAGCTCAATATGCACGAATGTCATCTCTACAAGATATTGTATTAGATAGGCTAGGACTAAAAAAATTATGTTAACATTCCGCTTCACGATATGGAAAATTTAGGCGTTCTTTGCTGTTTTACGCGGTGCAAGTTACCAAAGAAGAGGGAGCTGATACTTGAGTCGAGCCATATGGTTGCAATCTTAAGTTTAAAGTAAATTGAATTTTTTGTTGTCGTACCTCATAGGGTAAAGGAAGCAGCTATTTGGTTAAGACTGTTCTGGTGTGGTTATTCCCTAGTTGAGATCTTGTCATTGTGGAATTATTTTTCTTTTTACTCAGTTGGTAAGGAAGGGTTGCCAGTTTGAAATATTGTTCTCAATCACTTTGCAGGAGTTCCAGCTTTATAGATATGGCCCTCCAGTTGAGTGGCACCTCCGCAACTGCGTTGCTAACTTCCCGTCTTCAGTGTTTCTCGAGCTCAAGTTCGTCCAGGCAGTGGAGCACTAGCTCTGTTTTGCCTTTGAAGCAGCAGACCAGCAGGAACTCTGGGAGACTTGTAGTGCGCGCAGCAGAAGGTGTTGACGTTGGTGCTAAGGAGGGGAAAGGTGACATCTTCCCCTCAGGAGAGTGGGCCGAGAATTTCTCATTATTAAATTATGAAGATTTGTCGAAGCACTATGAGCCCGTTCTGTTCAAACCAGAGGTGTGTATTTATTCAGTTGGTGTTCGCGTGCTGGCTGTATTGAAGCGTAATCCTTTGCTCATTCAAATTTGAGATTGTACGGAAATTACTGTAGTCTTTATTCTGAATCCTACCAGTTTCTCGCCAAGCAGAGTGAATAATTTTGTTACTTAAATAATTGTGTTCTCCCATCAGGCACAACCGTCTACACATCTGGCAGATGTAATGTCCAGAACTATCATCACTGCATCTCCAGGACAATCTCTTGAGGAGGTGGACCGTTACTTCTCAGATATTTCTGGCCTTCCTGTGGTTGATAACGAGCACAAATGCGTCGGTGTTCTTTCCAAAAAGGATCGGTCTAAAGCATCCGATGTAGGTGATCATTTCTCCTAGCGTCCTCCACCTTATGCCGTTGTATGCTACGTATGTTTAAGTATTGGATACTTGTGCATCTTTTTCGTATTTCGTATACTCTGATGTCGGCATGCATGTTTGGTACTGCGCGCAGTTAATTTATTCTTAAGCTGGACGGTGTGTGTAAATTAGCCTGCATGACGCTTTGAGCAAGAAACTCACTGCAACTAAAACTGAAGTTTTTTGCATCTATACGTCAGCATTGTATTATTTAAATGTTTCTGTACTAGTGCTTTAGCTATTAGCTCTGAATACAAAGCAATGCACTGCCACTTTTGATGCTATTCTTTGCTGCGGTTGATAGTGGACGTACTGATTTTCAAATAAATACCTCGGGTGTGTGGGCAACAGCTGAAAAACAAAGTGAAGGATGTCATGACCAAGCCAGCAATCACCTTACCTGCAGATAAGACCGTCTCTGGTATGCTCCTAGATATGACTCCAGTAGAATGTTCTAGTTGTGTAAAATCTAAATTGTAGCTAGGATATGCAGTTTGGTTTATTTCCTCGATGAGGCTTGTTTGCAGATTTTGTAACCTATGTGCAGTGAACATTCTTTCAATCTAGTCTTGCAACAATTACTTCATACTGGCTTGAGGAGTTCTTAAAGAATTCCATCTGTGTTGACTTCTATATATATATATATAATACTGTGTTTGTGTGTTTGTAAGAAATAATAAAATGTTTTGGAATTCTTTGGATATCGCAGATGCTGCTGTCTTGATGTTGAAGAACAAGATTCATCGCATCCCCATTGTAAATGAGTCGAATCAAGTCGTAGGTAATTTGCGAACGTCCACATTTTTTGAGTGTTTTGAATTTTAAGTTTTATGTGGGTATGTACCTGGCGAAATTGAGTTTAATCAAAGCTTGTTGCAAAAGTCCCGTATATAGCCTTGCGGTGGTTTTTAGACTGTAATTGCGCGGCCTCAAACTAAATTCTTCTCATTAATACTTATCTGCTGCCTCAGTTGACGACTGCTACAGCAGAATTTCATATTCATTTTAAAGGTTTTGTTATCATGGCCTTTTCAGGTATTGTGACGAGGACTGATATTTTCAGTGCTATGGAAGGAGGCAATCAGGATGGTGAGTGGCCCTCTGTTCCTTCTATTGCTTCGTTATCACGTTTATGGAGACTAGAGGCATCTCTGCGTACTGTGAACACTTTTGTTTCTGTCTGGATTTTCTTTCACATTGACAACCAGGGTCTTGCTTCAGGCGCAGAAACGAAAAAACCTATACATTTCTTGCACCTTGACGATTTTGACAAGGAAACATTGGTACACATTTTGGATCGTGCCGCTGAAGTTAAGGCCAAGTTGAAGTCAGGAGATAGGAGCTATCAGCCTTTGAAGGGGATGTCGATGTCTATGATTTTCACTAAGCCATCCATGCGGACAAGAGTGTCATTTGAAACTGGGTTTTATCAGCTTGGAGGACACGCCATCTACCTGGGTCCTGATGACATTCAGTTGGGAAAGCGAGAAGAAACACGTGATATTGCTCGCGTGCTCTCCGGCTATAACGATGTAATTATGGCACGTCTGTTTGCTCACAAGGTACATGTTTATAATAAGTCTTCATTCTTTCTAAGAATTTTATTCACTGGAAGTAATAAAACATGATACTGAACTTTGGATTCCTCTCGCGTACAAACCACTAAAAGGAACTGTTTCCGTCCTGCTAGAGATTATATGTGAGCACTAGTTGATATTCCTGTGATCTTCAAGGGACCTACCTGTTGCAAGTTGTTAACATTGGTTCCTTCTAACATGCGTTGATATGATGAATGCAGGACCTGCTGGATTTGGCAGAATACTCTAAGGTTCCTGTTATCAATGGACTTACTGACTACAACCACCCTTGCCAAATCATGGCTGACGTCCTCACGATCAATGAGTTTATTGGTAGTATTGAAGGTCTCAAGGTATGCCAAGCTCTGAAGGTTTTGCTACTGCCGATTACTGTGCTGTGACAAGTTGGCATTGATATTGTCATCCGTGGTATCTGCATGGATTTTTTTTTCTTGCATAATCTGACGAAAATCTCAACTTTCACCTGTAATTCGATTTATTTTATTTATTTGTTTATGTAGTAAACATGAATAGTTTGGAAAGGATGTGGCTTCCTGCATTCGACAATGCCGATCTTCACATTTTCGAAACATGACACCCAAGTTCATCCTAATTCTGAAGTTCAGTTTTCCAACTTCATTGAGTGCATTGATACGGGTTGCAGGTAGTGTACGTAGGGGATGGTAACAACATGGTGCACTCCTGGTTGCGCCTGGCAGCTGTATTCCCTTTCCATTTCGTATGTGCATGCCCGAAGGGGTACGAGCCTGATGCTGCTACAGTAGAGAGAGCTCGTAGAGCAGGAGTAAGCAGAATCGAAATCAGCCATGATCCTACAGAGGCTGTGAAGGGTGCAAATGTTATTTATGCGGATGTGTGGGCTAGTATGGGTCAGAAAGAGGATGCAGGCAATCGGAAGAAGGTTTTCCAGGGTTTCCAGGTAAGGACTTCAGTTTTTAGTGTCATCTAGCGATTGATCACCTGTAGGCGTCTCCACGCGAGGTCGTTTTCTTTGGAGCACAATGCAACTGTTGGTCCGTAATCTATGCACGTTTGCTAGGTGTCAAACGACGGCTTCGGTACTAGAACAACTTATCAAGACTGTAGAAAACATCTGATACCCAGTACACTTAGTTTATTTGTTTATCTGCTCTTCCTTATATCTTGTGGTTTTGCTCCTTCTCTCTGCGACATTTGGTTAAGAGTGAATCTTTCTGATGGCAGGTGAACGAGGCCCTAATGAAATCTGCAGGGCCCCAAGCTTATTTCATGCACTGTCTGCCAGCTGAAAGAGGAGTAGAGGTCACGGACGGCGTCATTGAGGGCCCCAAATCAATTGTGTTTCCTCAAGCAGAGAACAGGATGCACGCCCAGAATGCCATCATGCTCCACTGTCTCGGTTTCTGAGGCCATCATGGATCGGCTTAGCTTGAACAACGGTCATATGTTTTCGTTGCTTGAGCTGTTGCTGTCTGAATCCGGGACTCTCCTCGAGCTTAATCCTGCGCAGTTCATGGAAGAGAAATAGCACCCAGTTTTGTTGTGTGTAGATGGAGTGTACAGGATGGCATCATTGTGTTCAGTGTTGTGCTGTATCCTTACGGTAGATAGCGGCTTCGAGATTGTCGAGAAATTAATACGTTGTGCAGGTGTTGATTATGACTTCCTAGATTGTGTGATCTTTGAAGTAGTAGGACCGAGCTCATACTTGCATTAGGAATGTTTTGGCCAATGAGGTTTAGCAATGTGATTCATCGTCTCGTGCTTGATTCGAGCAATTAGATTGTGCAGGACTTTCACGTGGCCTTCCTCAAATTAGACTTCATTCTCTGTCGTTATCCTTCGAGAAGATAACTAGTTTCAGATGCGCAAGCCTCCATCTTTCTTCCCAATCAAATGGATCCCCAGATAAGATCGAATGGTTTGAAAACCTACTTTGGGCCACCTCTCTTTTAGTGATCGATTCTTTCTTACAAATGAGTTCGTAGCTTGTGAGTGCGGCGTGCATCGAGCAGTTCCGCACTGTCTTTGAATTAGAGGTCATATGAAATATCAGGAAGTTTTGTCACCGTCGTGATGAGCGTCTTTTGCTGCTAGAATGCCCCCGATTAACCAACGGACCATGTGACTGATTATTACTTCGTCAGCAACTTCATCTTGTCTGATAGGAAAGTGCTGTTCGCCCAGCATTAGTTTGTGCGATGCTTGAGATCATGTACACAAATCTCTCGCAATTGGATCTTGTTTTGCAGTAAAGCAGTAGGCCGAGCGTTCTGTTCAGAGCCCCGGTAAACATCGAGGACGTACATCTACAGATTCTGACGAGTTATAGCTATGAGCGGCACCGACATGGAGCTAACTTATGGTCAAAAAAGGATTGACGAACGTCGGAATGGTGAACAAAAATTTGAGGTCAGCAAATCTATGTAACTTTCAAATAGCTTCAAAAATAAAAATGCACAGCGTTTCAAATTACGACATCCGATTCTAAAGAAAAGGATGAGCCAAGGAAGAAGTACCTGTCGCCGCACTGCGGCCCTCCGTCGTTCCTCAAACTCATCAAAGAATGCCTCTCGTTTTGCGAATTGGTTCCCGACAAATGAAGACAGCGACTAGTTGACAAAAATTCAAACAAGTTGACATAATTCGAGCGGGAACCCCACAGAACCATTCCATGTGGAATCTCACTGGTTTTCCACTCAGGATCTGGATATGACGGCGGTGACACGTCAGATGTGCCATGTCATACGTCGTTTGCGTACGTGGACATCATGCAGGGTTCTGTCCACACGAGGCTTTCTCGCTGGGAGAGATTACCAAGCCAAATCAAGTCCAGTCTAATAGCGCACTTCCACATTTCCAATCACTATATCCTCACTGAATTATTTGGGATACGTGTCTTGTAGAGAAGTTGAAATTAAATCACGTTCTTTGGTATTTAAAAAAAGTGGTGTTCTTCAATACTTAATTAATGCGACTGATAAACCCCGTTTTGTGATTTTAATTATATATATATATATATATATATACTAGCATTAAAACCGTGTTCTTCTGGATCAAAAGTTTTTGTTTTCACTTGAAAAGTTATAGATTTTTTAATTTTCATTGTGCATGTAAGTGGTTTTGATGTGATATTCCTCTACAAGGCTGACAACATGATGACTTTCAAGAGTTTGTGATCATTGTGTCAATGACAGCACATTAACTTACAGGTGTGTTTCATTTTTTTCAAATGAAAATTTGATTTGAATCTCACATCTTAAAATAAACTTACCAAATGTAGGTATTGTTATGATTTTACCAAAATCATGAATTTGTGGATGTTGGTTTTTGGTTGTGACAGTAATCAAGGACATCAATTAATTGACCTTCGTTGAGAAAGAGAATTCAATATATGCATGCAGTATTTACTCCAATGCAAAGTCAATTAAAATAAAGTGTATTTTATTTTTATTTTTAATATATATATTGTATGGTGGAGCTAAAAAATTAATATAAAACATGACAATATCCATAGCATGCATCAATCAAATCATATAGATTATAGGTCTTTGTAAAAGAAGCAAAATGGAGGATAACAATATAGTGTAGAATATTAGTGATAAAAATAATAAAAATATAGTTGTTGAAAAATACACAAAATATTTACTCAATTCATGTGATAAGATATCAATTTAAGATTGATATTGCTCCAATGATAAAATGTCTACCACCATTTTTAAGTAGTTTTAAATCTGAAATTAGAAATTAATTGATATTATAAATCTCAAAGAAAATCATATTAAATCTTAAAATCAAATCAATACCAAAGTTATATTCACAAGTGGGACACTAAGCATATGATAAAAATGAATGAGATATTTTAAGGAATTTATTTATATGTATATATATATAGGGAGATATTAAAGTGATCCATCTAATTACTAAATTTATCCACCCTATTGTAACCATCATTATAAAAATAACCTTCATCCCAATTTCCCTTGTTCCTAGCTTCTAGTCCCTAAGTTCTCAACCTTCTTCATTTTGACCCCCTTTTTTTTTCCTCCCTACATTCGTAACTCTCATTGCAGCCTCCTTGTTCCCCATAACAGAGTGGGTTGATTTAGTAAATAGATGGGTTATTTTAACATTTCCTTTGGAAGATATATACATAGTTTTCTTATTCTTCGCAATAGGGTGGGTTGATTTAGTAAATAGATGGGTTATTTCAACATTTCTTTTGGAAGATATATAAATAAATAATTGAGCTAATTTAATATTTTATAGATTCGTTTTACAACTACTATATGTGAGTACACATATAGTACATATAGTACTATATGTGAGTACAGATCTATAAAATGACTTTTTTTGCACATTAAAGCTTGGATTATTATTTTTATTATTACGTAGATTTTATTGTTTCATTCCAAAAATTGACATGGTTATAATCAAAATTAAATGTTCTCATGATTACACTCCAAGTTTACAAATTAATGACAACTCCTTTATTGAAAGTCATCAATATCTTTTCCTGTTTCTTGTTAGAAGTACTTAAACAATGAGAGTTTGGAAATGAGACACCACTCACCATGATATACCATATTCCCCTTATTTTTTTGGTAAGTGTGTCCATAGTCACTCTAGAGCACCTCTAGTGTAAAACACTACTACCAAAATGGGACCAAACTTAGAATGAATTGTGTCTTTTATAAAATTTCCTTTTTGGTTTTTGTTCCACCGCATTACAAAGAGCCCACACAACTGGTGGCATAAAGCACCCCCCAATGTTCAGCACACCACATCCCCAGCCCTCAATAGCCCCATGATGCTAACAAGCAAGCAAGCACACCCACAAGCTTGAAAGCATGCCCCAAAGCATGAACAAACCAAGCATGTGCCTAAGTCTGCAGCAATTTGAGGGAATTGATGGTCCCTTCCCTTTGTACGATTGTGTGGGCATGAGACCCATCCCATGATTGAGCACAACTTCCAACTCTCTGTCTGCCCATCATGAAATATTAAAGGGCCCGCCCTTAACAACACCAAAAAAATGCAAAAAGTAAAAAGTAGAAGTAGAGTGGAGTGTCTGCTAAGCTTTCTACCTCGCTGCATGTCATGGAATAAAGGACGGAACAAATAAAGGATGTGCTGGGTCATCTTGCGCACCCCCTCCTCCTCCTACTCTCTGACACCCTCTAACAAAGGATGCATGAAATGAAATTCATTCGTCGAAATGTTCCTCTGTTTGTCCGTCGGGGAAAATAGTGGAGGTGGGATTGGATAGCGACATCGAGAGGGAAGCAGGAATGGTGATGATGAGGCCATCTTGCGATCCCAAAAGAGCAGCCGCCATTTCTTGTAGTGGACCCACTTCCGGAAAAGCAGGCTGGTGATGGTGCTGGTGGCGGCCCTGGCTCTGGCTGCTTCAAGCGCCGGGAGTATCATGCTTCGCTTAAGTTTGATTCTGCACCACCGTAACGCTCACGGGCTTGTGCTGCGACGCGAACTGTCTTTGTAAAGCATATGCCTACGGCGGTTCGCTGAAGGGGATAGCAGGTTCGTAGATGCTTCTGTAATTCTCTTCACTTTCAAACGCGACAACGAACATGTGTTAGCAGACACACGGTTGGCGTGAGCACGAGGCTCGTTTTGCCGGCGGGGCGGCTGGGGCAAGTGAGAGCATGCACGACGCGGTGGGGGGGGGATAGGGACGGGCAGGAGGTTCAGTACGTTCCCCTCTTTCTCTGTAGCCCGGAACGCACCTTGTGTTACTGTGGCTCACGGTTTGTGAATGAAGGTATTTTCGTCAAGGGTTACCTCATGCGGGAGGGCGATATTTGTTGAAGTGAGCGATTGTTACCAACATCCCGCACTCTTCGGTGGTTGAACACGCAACTTCATTAGCTCACACTTTCGCCGTGTTAACACACTTTCTTCGTCAACGAAGCCTTGATAAGATGCAGGAAGGCGCATACGTCGAACAATTTTAATTGTAGGAAATTTGCATGGAGATTGCTTGTAGAGAGCACCCTTTTGGATGTACGTTTGCACATCCACCTTTGTCGCCGTGTTTCGCTGGTTTCTTTCCGTTCTGTTTCTTAATTTTCATTGCTTCAGGCAACTCCTTTGTTTGGCCAAACATATACATTGGGGCCATAAGAACCTTTTCCTTCTTCAACATTTTGTTGTCTTAAAAGACTCCAGTGTTTTATGAATTAATATCATAATATATACTCAAACAAAAGAGTAGCCAGAATAATATATTTTTGTAACTGATATTATTTATGAAAAAAATATATGTACTTATGATCATTTTACTTTTATCGATTTTACACAAACATCAAAAACTTACGTTACAGAAATTTAAGTCACGTCTTTATCAAGTATATAAATATACATTTTGATGATGGTACTAATCCTGACACATATATATTCCACGTATAAAACACTAAACCATAAACTTTCTTTGATAAAGTTATTCGGAATTTGAATATCACAATACAGATGAGGTTACAATTATTATGTGTTTAAAAATGTTCTTTATATTATAAATTTAAAGTGGATAAATTATAATATGCATGTTAGCAGAGCGGATTTCGCCTAATTCTGGATGAACCTATCGAAACATCATCCCCACATGGACGGTGGGTTCTATAGGGGGACCGGAAGGAAGACATACCTTACGAAGAACGATGTCTCGGGACACCGCGGTAAACGCCTGAACGAGCCGGAGATTGAGGCAATCAGATTTTTACACGTCACAGATGGATAAGAGCATCGTTTTATCCACTTGGAGGCGGAGGGGGGAGGCGCTTCTTTACAGTAGTCAGCGGCATGACCAGTCCGATGTGCATCCTACGGATAGCATTCACCCACGTTGCCTCGGGCTGTGGGAGATTCGTCCATTTTAGTGCCATTCCGTGACGGTCTTCCAGGCCAGCCCTGACGGGTTCAGGGTAGGGGCGGACGGGTGACCCGCTTCGGACCCCCCCCCCTTTCCCCCAAATTTGTATAACTTGCAACGGCGCGGACGATTCTCACTTTCAGAAGTTCCATCTCGCTTCTCACCGTCCGAGTCGGCTTGCTTATTGCAAATCGTTCCTTGCGACACAATCCATTGTTGTGTTTGAGCTGCTGTCAGTTCGTCAACGGATTGATGCGGAGTCTTGAATCGGAGTCGAGTTGGCGGTGACTGAAAAGAATTATCGCTCAAGAAACGATCGACTGTTCGGGTTCGACTTGTGATTTGCTTACTGTAGTCGGGTTGACAACGCTTCGACGCGTTCACGTTCTGTGTGTTATTGATATTCCTGAGACGACTTTCTGGATGTGTGTGGGGAGGCTGGACTGGTTAGTTCGATTTCGGTGCTCGAGGTTTCATTAATGAAAATTATACCTTAGGAATATGAAACAATCGTTATAGGTATCTCTTTTCTTCGACAAGGGATTGATTCATCGCTTGCAAGCAGCCGCTGGTAACATCACTGCGTCAGTTATCTCTGAAGTTTACATAGTTTCTTTAGATTTTACTAGAGGGTGGAGAATTTTCTCAACAGAGATCAAGGGGTAGAAGACTTATAATATCGAAGGGTTTGCTGCATGAAAAGTCTTATTTCACTTGCGAAGCTTCCGTCCAGCTAGCGTGAGTTTGGATCGTTCGTAATTTTTCCTATGTGTTGCTCAATCGGAAGGGCGCCAGCAAAGTGGAGCGAGCACGGGTTAGGATTAGTATTCCACTCAGGAAAGTGCAACTCAGGGAAGGGTAGAGAGAAACAGGAACTTGCTTATAACGAAAAGTTAGACTTAGAGTTCCTCCACATTTCCCGACAATCTATTTTTCTTTAGAATATGGATCGCATATCTTCCGTTGACGACATCCTGAGCGCATACTGGAACGAGTCGTCTATGACTTCTCCTGTGAAGGGCAGCATGAACCGCAGTGCTTCTGAGTTCGCTTTTCAAGAATTTATTAAGGAGAACATGACTGCCACATCTTGCTTCGGAGGCCGCTCCAAGAGCCGCTTCTATCAATCGCAGGCGGATGAGGGGAAAGCTCTTAACGATCAAAGTCGTGACAATCTTATGATCTCGGCAAAATCTGAATCAGAGTTCACTCCTCCGATGTTCGCAAGCACCGAGGAGCTGCGTGCGATGAATAACGTCGTGGACCCTGTTGAAGTCGACGATATTGTGGGGATTGAGGGGGCGCTGAACCCCCTCTTCTCCCGTGTCCAAAATGATGCGGATAAAAAATATTCCAATTTCCCCTCTGCTGCGTTATCTGCGGGTGACTGTGGTGGTCAAGACTATGAGGACATCCTTAAGCAGAAGTTGGAAAGGGCGTGCGCTGCAGCGGCTCTCTCTAGAGTGCGTACTCCTAATTTTTTTCTTCTCGTTGATATTTTTTACCACTAAAATCGGGTTGGGACGTGGTATGGGCTGTAGCACACCGAAGGGTCTGTGGATTCTTGGTATTTTGCTGAAACTATGAATGAATTTATTTATTTAGGGTTTAAAATTATGCCTCAAGTTGTTTTTGGGTAGTCGATAATCTTTTTTCATGGATTGATGACAGCAGGTGAATGGCGAGGGTGCAATAATTGGACAATCGGTTGGAGCTATTTGTCAGAAGAGTTTTGCTATCGAATCATCTGGTAATTCGCACTTCTTTCCTTACCACATGCTGCTCCGTACGTCCTCTGCACATTTGAGCATACAGTGTTTTCCGTAAATTTTTAATTTTTAATTTTTAATTTATTTTACGGCCGTTCAGTTTGAATTGCGTGAAAACTAATTTGAACTATCATTTTTTTGACAGCCGCTAGTGCTTGTCCAAGTGGAGTTCAATGCGCACCCATGAGCGCTAAGTCTCCTTCTCCAAAACCTGAAGTGGATGCATCAACCGGGAAGGTCAAACTTACGACCAGTGGTTCGGAACTTTCTGATGACGACGAACATGATTTGTTAAACCAAAGCCTACCAGGCGGTGACCTTAAGCGTGTGAAGAGGTATTTTACCTGAGAAGCTTAGCACGGAATTTAGTATAATCCTTATCATCAGAAATTAGTCTATATGGTTGAGGCGCCATTCGTATCATGTTTGAATATGTAAAGCTAATCTATCTGTGGTGCACTGGATATGCGCTGACTTACATTATAACATGTGCGTGATGCAGAATGTTGTCAAACCGTGAATCTGCCCGACGCTCGCGCAGAAGGAAACAGGCACACTTGAGTGATCTAGAAATGCAGGTCAGTATATTTGCTTGTTGAGGATTTTTTTCAAGTTTACGCTGGAAACTAAAATCATGATAGGTGGAGCTATTTCATCTATTTGAGATAACAGTATGCTCAAATCCGATATGTTTGAAATATTGCTGCAGGTTGCGCAATTGCGAGTTGAAAATACTACGCTTATGCAAAGATTGCAAGAGATTACCCACATGCATAAAGATGCATCTGTCGACAACCGAATTCTAAAGGCAGATGTGGAGGCGTTGCGTGCTAAGGTGTGCATTTGCTTTCAGTGTTTTCTTTTCTTTTTGAGCTAAGTGCAGATTATTGACGGTGTTTTTTTACTCTTGAATTCATATTAAGTGAAGGAATAGTGAAGTCAGTTTCCGGTTCCTATGTGAAAGTTTGAATGCTTATAGATTTTACGCTGTACGTTTACAGGTGAAAATGGCTGAAGACATGGTGGCCCGTCAAGGACAGCCCATGTCAAATCTCATTCCCGACCCCAGTTTAAGCTTTATGACACCGTTCAATGTGAATGATATGGAAAGACCATTTCTGCAACAGATGAGGCACAGTTCCATGCTACGCCATGATCAGCAACAGCAGCCTGCTAGTGGCATTAGGGGTAAGATGGGACGTGCACCTTCAATGCAACGGGTTGCCAGCCTGGAGCATCTGACGAAGCGTATCCGCAACGGGAGTTCCTGCAACGTACCGGCTTGGGGTGGCTGGGACATGGACAGACCTGCCATGGTACAGGAACACGGCATCTGATCAATGTTTCCGCGCTGACTATGTAGTAGAATCGATGTAACTTACATTTACTCCGCTTATTTCAAGCGAGAGCGAGAGTTCAGGGCAAGTGGAAGATCCGAGATTATTATTTATTTTAGACTTGGGTTGAAGGGGAATAGATTTACGCTAAGAAGGGACTTCACCTTAGTTTTCAGAAGTGGCGTAGAATTCTTCTGATAAGTAGGCATGGAAAGGATCATATTGTTGTTGCTTCAGAGGAAGAGAAGATTCATACTTTGGAGGGTGAACATAGAACTTGTTTTTTGGCAGGGTGCAAACGTTGCTTGTAATCTCCTAGCTGAGATTGATGTTGTTGCTTGTAAATAGCTACTGCTGTCGGTCCTGGTCAACTAACAAGGCTGGAGCCTGATGGTTGGAAGTGCCACAATGGAAAGTATTTTGAATTCTTTCATATTTGAGTACTCATTTTCTTAGACACTAAACCCCTTTCTGAGACGCATGTTCAAAGCGGCATTGAGAGTTTGGTCTTTTATCATCTCTTGCAAGTACTGAGCACTCTTTGTTGTTTGTCTTGGCTCATTTTTTGGGTTTGTAAAATGCTCTCCCTGTATCATTGTCATATAATACGCATAATCGTAACATTCGATAATGAAGCACTTTCTATGAATGTGCTAATTTCGTACACGCTTGTTACAATCAATGCGTACTTAGCGTAATAACCATCGTCGTACCCTACGAACAAAACTGGTAAACAGACAAAACTACACACAGACCAGCTCACAACTCGCGAATTCCCCAGACTGCTTGCTGCACTCTCGAAAGCGATGTGCTTAGCAGGACGATTATTCCAGGTGCTTGGATTTTAAAAGTTCAACAGCGTACTACAGCAAGGAGGATTCTTGCAGACACTGACCGAAAGCTTGGAGACAATTTTGCAAGCTATAAAGTGCACAATGTCGGAAAAGCAGAGGTCTGGATTGTCTGACCAAACTGCCTCCAACGGCTTCTGCGCTGCAAGTCGGTCCCACAGATACAGTTAGATTCCTTCAACCATGCGGTAAATCATGCTACAAACCACGCTTGGGCTTAGACAAATGGAGAGTCCATATTGGAACCAAGCGTGGAAGGAGGAGCCGCGCGGTAGCCATGTACAGAGTTAGGCTTCCCGCTTCCGGAGCCTGGAATGGGACTTTGGCTAGGGTTTTAGCGTTGGGGTTTGGAGCTCGGAGGACAGGGTGAGGAGCTAGGGTTTGCTCTGCTCTGAACTTTTGCGTTCTAGTTAGATTTGTATTTTCGGTCTTACAATTGCGTAGCCATGCCGGAGGACAAAAGGAAGATGTTGCAGGCCCTGGTGGCCAAGAGGAAGGCCGAAAATGAGGCGGGAGGGAGAAAGAAGCCCAAGGAAGTCACGGCGGAGGGGGTGGTGGTTGGAAGGAAAGACATGAAGGTGTCGGGAGGTGCCAAGGTACAGAAGTACTCGCCGCCTGCGAGTAAGGGGAAGGCGAAAGTCAAGACCCCCGCGAAGAAGACGGTAGAGAAGAAGTGGGATAGCGCTTCCGATACGTCCGAGGACGAGGACGTTCCCGGGGAATCCGAGGAAGAGGAGGAAGATGATGATGGCGGCGAGGAGGATTCGGAAGACTCGGATGTGCCGAAAAAGTCCGCCAAGAAGCCCATTGCGAAGTCAGCACCCAAGTCCTTGTCTGCGAAGAAGGGGAAATCGGTGGCGGTCGCTCCTCCTAAAAATTCGAAGGGTAAGGGTAAGAAGAAAACGGATAGTGACGATAGCGATGCTGTGAATGGTGCTGAGGACGATGACAGTGATCTGTCAGAGGATCCTCTAGATGAAGTGAACCCCGACAACATTTTGCCTTCACGGACCCGGAGACGCACTGCACAACCTGTAAACTATGATTTTGGCAGTGGTGATTTGGATGAGGATGACGATAGTGATGACGAGTGAGCATGAAAATTTGGTATGTCTCCTATTTCTCTCTAAGGAAATTAACATGCTTCGTCATTTTGCTTTGATGGAATGTATCCTCTTTCACATAGTTATCCTCGTGCAATTGGTGTCACTCAGGTTGGGTGTCGCCGTGCACAGGAGAATTTTGGTGAAACATTCGGAGGGTCTGCTCAGGAGACGATTCTTGGCATGAATGAGCCTAATTTTCTCACGTACTCGAGAATCGGCTCTTGAACATGCTCTCAGAGCTCCAGCCTTCTTCCTCTGCTGCATCACAAGTTGACTATTCATCAATCTTCCATGCCCCAGATGATGGAGAGAGGCTCTTGGCCGTGTGTAGTCTAGGTCCCCTTTATTGATCTCTTAGAAGGTGTATCTGATTGTGATGAAGTTCCTGGAACAGATTGATATGATTCTCTTAGTGTGATAGCGGAACAGCGGGGTCTCAAGTCCGACTGTAATTTGAGGAAGTTGGTTTAAGACAGACGGAATGTATTACTGTGCTATTGTCTTGCAGAAATAGCACAGCATTGCATATACTTTATTCTGGTCATGATTGTCTTAAGGCTGCAAAACCAGACTTCAGAAAGACGTTTGTTTGTTTGTTTTGTTTTTGTCATCTTGAATGTGGTCAGGGAGTCCAATCCTTTTCTTCTGGGTAACAACCGAAGAAAGAGAGGAGTCTTACCATTCGATCTTATTACAGGAATCATGTGTACAGCTTGACGAGATGAAGTTATATGTACTTAGTTCGTAAGTAGTTTTTTGGACCCGTCTGCAAGTGTTTCGGGACAGTTTACGTCATTTGTGCAGTACGTGCGGTTTTTCATTTTAATACCTGCAAATAATTAAAATTTTGCGGACTTTCATGGTCAGGAATGATATTGCAATTACACAGATTTTCTGTGTCCCCATTTCGGACTCATAAGTTCCAATATACATTAGGTGTATTGCCGTGTCGAGGGTGTGGGTTATCGAGGATGTGGGCTATCACCACTTGAAGGTGGCAGATTCCTACGCTAATGATTTCAGGCTAATAATTTCAGGTTTGATCTGGTAAGCCAACCTATTTTACTTTATTCATCATTTTTTTTTACTTTCAAACGAATTTGATTCTAAGTGGTTCACTTAGGATCATTTCTGTAAATGCGCCCTAGAGTTCTCATTTAGTGTCACGATTAAAACCATTTCTGTTAAGGAACGCACAATTAGCTCACCTCATGAGAAAATCACCAGCAATGAGCCTAGATAACACACTTTTGGATACCTTATGTTGATTGTTGGAAGTGAAATTATATTTGGTACCTCTAGTTAGTGTCACATTTTCTTTTTACAGAAATTAGATTTATGAAGAACAAGGGAGATGAGTTGAGTTACTATGTTTTTTATACTCAAAGACAACATTCTAATGGTCCAAAGTTCTTCACTTATTTTCAAAAACTTTTTAAAGATTGTACATATCACTTAAATAAGACAAGAAATTTCTTTAACTTCTAAATTATATTTATGATGTGTATTTTGAAGGAATTAGGTTATGCAAATTATTAAACATTTTTTTAAATAGAGATTTTATAATATTTTTTAAAATTAATTCTCTTTTGATAAGGTTGTATTCAATTACCAAGATAAGATCAATCTATATATTGTATATTGTGGTAATTAAAGCTTTAAATAATGTGAACAAATTTAATTGGTATATATAATGTGGTTTTCTAATTTCTTATTCAACATAGAAGAACAAAAGAATATACATGGTATATGTTCTTACATCTTATCCAAGTTCAAATCTTTAGAATAGGTCTTCAATCTTCGAATTTTTTTTATAATGAGAATTTTGTTAAGATCATAGAAACTTGAATCTAAGAAGATAAGGAGTTGTAATGAACAACAATATTCATTAATATGTCTATTTAGATAAATAAAATTACATAAAAGTAAATAAAGTAAGGTAAGTTTTTGATATCTTATTGATAAGTTTCATAGAAGTTTTGTAGATTTTGTATGTGTTTATAAGTAATTGGTAGATTAATAACTTTATCAATAACTTAATCACATTTTATACATTAAATAATTTATATTATAAGTTGATCATGTAGTGTGCTTGTTGAAAATTCCTTTTAAAAGTTAGATACATGTTGTATAGTATAAAGTTAGGAAATTGTTACATAGTTCTTTATTAGATATTGTATATGGAAGCAAAAATGAGACCTTCTTTATTTTCACCTATACATTTTTTTGCTTCATCTTTGTTGAAGTCTTTTTAGTTCTCTTGTATTTGGCAATAACTATTTTAGTTTTAATTTTATATCTATCTTTTAGTTGTTTACTTTTTCTTTTTTAGAGATATAAGAGTGTATTGTCATATTTCAAATTTGGTCGTAATTTATGTTTTTGGTAAATTTATAAGAATGATAGATATAAAATGTACGAATATTTTATATCCATTTGATTTTGTTTTAGAAATAAGTCATTATCTCACTTCTGATTATTAAGTTTTAAAGGTTGTAAACTACTTATTATTATACTAATATATATATATATATATATATATATATATATATACATGTATATTTTTTTTTCTACCATTGATTTTTATTTATTTATTTATTTTTAAAGAAAGTAAATTACACCTCTATGTAGAAATATTCTTTTGATTTGTAGATAACCTTCCTTTGATTTATCTTATGGATTATTTAAATTTGTATATTAAAGAGAAAAACAAAAAAATAATTATAGATGTTGTACTTGGTTGAATTAAGAATAGATTTGCAAATATTATATATCTTTACAAACTTGTTAATACTCTTATTGCAATTCTTTTACATATTATTAATGTCAATTATAAAAATATTCCGACCATATTAAAAAAATCAACAATAAGATTTTATGTCTATACAAAGAAATTATGTTGTTGAAAAAAATAAGAAAAACAACTTCAAAAGTGAATCCAAAAAGTTTTGTTATTACAAGTATGAAAAATGCAAAGTTTAGTATGTCGGAGAAGTTTTATTGAATTAGATGAATTTTTTTTGAATTTCTTAATATATATATATATATATATTATATTTTTTAATATTATTCTAATTTACATTATAAAATAAATATTTAATATTATTTTTTAACTCATATTCAAATACAAATTTTAATAAAAACTTGAAGTAATTCAAAAAATATCGAGATGTATTTGAAAATAAGATTCTTAATGTATTGCCAAAATACCAATCTTATAATCTATCATGGATATGAATGACAAAAAATAAAACCTCAATAATCTCTTGTGTTACTTAGAAAAACTAGATATTTACTCAAAATTAGTATAATGTTGAAATTGGAATGGTTATTGTTAAAGAAAAGAAAATCAGAGACTCTTGAAATAAGACTAAGAACTAGAAAGGTGTTGACAAGAATAAAAAAGGCTTCACTTTTGCCTCCATACATACTATCTAACTAAAATCTATAAGGCGACCTTTAATAGAACCTCTAACACATGTTCAACTTCCAAGACATATATCTAACTTCCAAAATAAATTTATATAATTAGCTTATATTCTAAGCTATTAATGAATATAAGTGAGATGCATGATTAATTTACTGGCCAAGTTTCTAACCTACCAATCAACTACAAACACATTTAAAGTGAAATCCACATCAATGCAATTTTCAAGAAGCTTTACTATAAGATAATATTAAATTTATTTAAATTTATTTTTTATCTAATATTTATTATATAAATAATATCAAAGATATATATATTTTTATTTAAATAAAAAGTATTAGATAAAAAATAAATGTAGATAAATTTGATATTATCTTATGTGGAAGCTTTTTAAAAACTTTATAATCACATATTTGATTTATATATATTTGATTTTATACATATTTATAGTTGATTAATAGGTTAGAAACTTGGCCAATAGGTTTGTCATGTATAATACACGTGGATAGCTTGTGATATAATCTAATAATGTGGCACAAATATAAAAAACTTGTCTTAGAAGTTAAGACATGTGTCTTGCAAATTGGACACTTATTAGAGGTCTTATAGAGTATTGTCACATGGCTCTTAGTTTGATAATATAAATGGAAGTAAGAGTGAAATCTTCTTCACTCTTATCAATGCCTTTTTATCTTTAGTCTTGTTTCCTTACTTTCTAGTTTTCTTGTCTTTGATAATAGCATTTCTAGTTTAATATTGTATCATCTTTGAGTGATATAAGAATTTATTGAACTTTTAGTTCTTTGAAATTTATATCATTGATAGTTTGACAAAAGTGATAACTTATTATTTTTGTTTTGTTTTGAAAGTGAGTCGATTATACCACTTTTATTATTGTCTTTTAAAGGTTACAAACTATGTGCTTTTAAACTCACTTTTAGTTTTTTATTTTTGATTTTATTTTTTTCAAAAGAAAGGACTATCCTTCTTTGTAGAAACTTTTATTTGATATTAGAGGTTGTGAATTGCCATCTTTTAATTTGACTTTTAGATTTGTTTGAATTGTCTATAGAAGAAAAAATTATAGATGCTACTTTTGACAGAAAGGGAATAGATTTGCAACTATTGCAAATCTTCATGTTCTTGTCAATATTCTTTGGAATAAAATTTTACATGTATTTAACGTGATCTATAGGGGTAGTATTTAAATACCTATGGAAGTGGTCAAAAACAAAGTTCAAAATCTATGCCTAGAAATTGTGCAATTGAGAGAAATAAGTAAATCAAGCTCATAATTGAATCTAAGAAATCTTGCTACTTCAAGTACGAGAGAGGTAAAAATAAGTATGCCCAAGAAGTTTGATGGAACAAAATCAAAATTTTTAGGATTTCTACAATGAGTGAAGTTCTATCTAAGGTTGCATTTTTATCAATACTCTGATGGATTTATTCAAGTTGAATTCATAGGTGCATTTCTTTTTTGAATTTTATTATTATTATTATTATTTTATTTGTATCTTTGATAGAAAAAATTTCATGTCTTCTGTATGATCTAAATTTATTTTTAAAAGTGTTTACGGCCACTTTTAGAAAAAATAATTGAAAAATGTAGTAGAAATCAAATTTATATCTTTATTACAAGGATTATATTCAATTACTATATATGTTTTAAAATTCTAAAATCTTGCTTGCAATATAAATTAAAATAATAAATTCTTTAATAATCAATTTTTATATGAATTAAATAATAACATTAAAGATTTATTATTGATAATACTAAAAATAAGCTCATTAAAAGAATTTATTATTTAAGCTATTGCATGCAATAATAGACTCTTTGAAAAATGCCAAGAATAAAGATTTAGTTGGAGAGGTATAAATCAAGCCATAGAACTCAACTACCATTTGGACCAATCTATAATTTATTACAAAATATGTTGGATGAACTAAAGGAATATATTGACAAAAACTTGGCTAAAAACTTCATACACTATTCTAAAATATGAGCTTTCATCTTATTTCTAAAGAAAAAATATGCATCATTATAAATGTATGTAAACTATTAAGGATTCAATAATATTAGCATTGAAAATAGGCATCTTCTATTTTGATTTTAAGACTTTTTTATTAACTTTATTAAAAAAATATTTATA